GCTAGGGCTTTTCTCTTTAGAACGACGAAGGATGAGAGGTGACTTGATAGAGTTGTACAAAATGATCAGAGGTATAGATAGAGTGGACAACCAGAGACTTTTTCCTAGGGTGGAGGTAGCTATTATGAGGGGGCATAGTTTTAAAGTGAGTGGAGACGTCAGAGGTAGGTTCTTTACTCAGAGAGTGGTAGGGGCGTGGAATGCATTGCCAGAGAGGGTAGTGGAGTCAGCCTCATTAGGGGCATTTAAGCGGCATTTAAGTGGTTATTAGATAGGCATATGGATGATAGTATAAGGTCGGGGTGGAGGTTAGGTAGACGTTCGGATTCGGGTAAAAGTTCGGCAAAACATCGTGGGCCGAAGGGCCTGTACTGTGCTGTACTGTTCTATGTTCTATTTCTATGCTTCTGGTACCAATTTGTAGGCACTCAAAATAGCCTGTTTCACTCCTTCATAGTCTCCTGACACCTCCTCTGACAGCGCTGCAAACACTTCACTAGCCCTGCCTACCAACCTTGTCTGAAGTAAAATACCCACGCAGTCTATGGCCAATTCAATTGCCTCACCAATTTCTCAAAGGAAATAAAAAAGGCTTCTACATCTTTTTCATTGAAGGTTGGTAATGTTTGGACATATTTGTACATATCCCTACTTAGCTATTGGCTACAATGAGTTTGGTCATCCTCACTTCTATCTCGTACTTTTCCTTCTGCTATTTGAAGTCTTTTTGCTTCTCGTTCCAACTTAATCTTTTCCAACGCAAACATTTTTTTTGTTTTTCCTCTGCTTGTAACTGTAGAGTTCTCGAGTCAAACAGAAAGGAAACAGACCCTTCAGTCCAGCCTGTCCATGCTAAACTAAACCAGATCCACCTGTCTGCTCTTGGTCCATATCCTTCCAAACCTTTATTATTCATGTACTTATCCAAATGGCTTTTAAATGTTGTAATCTCATCCTCAGTCCTGTGTTGACTTCCCCCTCCTCATAGTTGAACCCTTATCTGCTATGTAATTGAAACTGTTTCAATTCTCATTCATTCACTAACTCCAATTATCTTGTTTGCAATTTAATTTTTTCTAGCACCCCTGCACTGTCCTGTTTCTCTGGTATACCTAAATGCTTCAGTAAATCCTTTACAATTTCAGCTTTCCTCTTGTTCCTCGTTAAACCGAATTCTAGCCTGTTTGCTAATTCTGAAGATATATCCTTCCTCTGTTTTTCTAAATTTTCTTGGCAAATTTGGGAAGCATCTTCAAATCCCAGAACATCTTTAACAGTGTTAAGAGCCATTTCCCTCACTTTTTATTTCACCAACCACAAGTAACTGAAATTAAACAGATTTTTCTCACCTAAGTTTTATTTAAAGATCTGGGACACTAATCCTCAAGCCTGTTTAAATCTGTCCAAATCCCATACACGAACCAGCCAGATCCGGGACTTGAGGCCCTAAACTGTTAGGTAGGGGAGATCAAACCCCTCTGATAATTAAAGTCAAAACACAAGCCCCAAGTTGTTACAGTGGGAGTGGAGGTCCTCTTCCAATAATTAAACCCAAAACACCCAGAGAAGCTTGCCTCACCTCGCCTAACCTATTAAACTGTTACAGAGAAGGGGAGGTTAAATGAAAGAAAATCCTTGATATTCATTTTATAAGTAATACTTTATTTATTTAACCCTTACGGTGAACAAACTAACAGAATTACTAACAAACTGAACAATTCCCCCTTAAATACTATTTCTTACCTGAACCAAATTCTACTGGTACGCTATTCCAATAAACTCAAAGCTCACTTATATAAACCCAAGTAATAAGAAAATAAAGTAAAACTTTGTCTCTCAAAGTCTACAAGTCTTTCTTCTGCTGTTCTCAATTCAAAAACGCCTTTCTTCCCCTGATCCGGCTGTCAGGGATGTTTTCTCTGTGAAGTCTTCTGTGAGGACCCTTAGCTCGAAGTGCTGTGGCACCTTTTATGGATAGATGGTGCTTTCTTACAGAACTTAGCAATTTCTTGTGAGAGCTGGATGCTTATTTCTCAGATGGTGGTTTGCTCTCACACCGATTCTCAAAAATCCCTCCTTATATACCTTGGATGACATATCAATTTTCTTACAACAGCATTGGTCTGAGGTTGTCAAAACTATCAGATTTAAATTCAATTGGCTTTCAATCGCTAAGTGTTTGGTTTAAATTAACTGGCTGATTCCAGCTAGTTGCCGAAATATCAAAACAAGCCGAAGGTTTTCAATCACACAGCCAATTGATATATGTTTCAATTTCAGAATTGGTTGTACATCATCAGCTACATACAGGCATTTTTTTTCCCTGTATAAATCTCTAAGCTTAAACAAGCACTTTACCTCTTAAAGGGATCATGCACTCTTCCCCCCCTGTCATTTTTACAAACAAATTCTAGCTTCCTGCCTTCCAAATTCACAAGCACTCTACACAACTTCATAACATACCATCAAAAGTTTGCCTTACGCCAATTAAAAACTTTAACTTTTATGGAAGGCCCATCCTTTATCATAACCACTTTGAAACTAATAGAATTATGATTGCTAGACCCAAAGTGTTACCCGACTTTTACCTCAGTCACCTGTCCTGCCTTATTGCCCAAAGGAAGGTCTGGTTTTGCTCCGTTTCTAGTAGGAGCACCTACATACTGATTAAGAAAATTTTTTTGAGCACATTCGACAAATTCTTCACCATCCAAATCTTTAACACTATGTTAGTTCCAGACAATGTTTTGAAAATTAAAATCCTCCATTATTATAACCTTATTATGCTTACATATATCCGAGATCTCCCAAGATATTTGTTACTCAATTTCTCTTACTACTGGGGGACCTATAGTACAATTCCATCAAAGCGGCCTTTCTTTTCTTATTTGTAATTTCTACCCATATATTTTCAGTGGACAATTTTTCAGAAATATCTTCCCTAGTTACAGCAGTGACGTATTCCTTAATCAAAAATGCTACCCCCCTCCTTTCTTGCCTCCTTTTCTACCCTTCCAAAGAATCTATAACCTGGATCATTGAGCTGCCAGTCTTGCACCTCTCAGCCAAGTTTCTGTGATAGCTAATGACATCGCAATCCCATGTTCCTAAACATGCCCTGAGTTCATCAGCCTTACCCTTGCGTTGAAATAAATGCAATTTAGTTCTTCAGAGTTACTACATAATTTGACTCTTTCTTGTCTTTCCTTTTTAATTAACGTGCTCTCCTCACATTCAGAACCTACCCCATCAATCCTTCCATTTACACTAAATAAAAACAGAAAGAACTGCGGATGCTGTAAATCAGGAACAAAAACAAAGTTGCTGTAAAAGCTCAGCAGGTCTGGCAGCTTCTGTGAAGAAAAAATCAGAGTTAACATTTAACATAACTAATTTCTGAGAAAGGGTCACCAGACCCGAAGCGTTAACTGATTTTTTCTTCACAGATGCTGCCAGACCTGCTGAGCTTTTCCAGCAACTTTGTTTTTGTTCTTCCATTTACACTGTTACTTAGAATTCCTCCACTTGCCTTTTCTACCAGTATAAAGCCTCCCTTAAAGGAATGACTAAACCTTCCTGCCAAGATATTGGTCCCTTTCCAGTTTAAGTTAGACCCTCTTTTTTTGAACAGATCTTTTCTATTCCAAAAGACATTCCAATTGTCCAAGAACCTGAATGCCTGAACAATATACCAGCTCTTCAGTCATTGATTTATCTCCTTTAACTTTTTGTTCCTTCCCTCGTTTTGAGTTTGGCACTGGGAGTAAACCAGAAATTACTACTTTTAAGGTTTAATTTTTTAATCTTCTACCTAACCTCTTAAATTCATTCTGTGCTGCTTTAATCTTTTCCCTAAAAATGGCATTCCTACCAACGTGTACATTAATTTCTGGCTTCTCAATCTCACCTTTAACAATATGCGTGAAACGTTTAGAAACATCCTTAATCCTAGCACCAGGAAAGCAACAAACCATCTTAAATTTATGCTCACTGACACAGAATCGCCTGTCTGTGTCCCCGATAACAATAATTCTATAAAATCTTATCAAACACTGCCTAACATAAGGTCCATATATACAATATCTACCGCCCTGTGCTCAATCATCATTTCCTCAAAAAACTCAATCACAACCTTTCCCATATAAAGTCATGCTGCCTATCCTTATTAAATCCTATCCCTAATAAATCTAAGTGTGAGTAAATCCTGTCTCTCTTAATCTTCTCCAATAATTTCCCTACCACTGACGTAAGGCTCACTGGCCTGTAATTTCCCAGATTATCCTTGTTGCCCTTTTTAAAAAATGAACAACAGTGGCTGTTCTCCAGTCCTCTGTGTCCTCTCCCGTGACTAATGAGGATACAAGGATTTTATATAAGGCCCCAGCAATTTCCTCACTTGCCTCCCTCAGCTTAGTGGGATAGATCCCATCAGGTCCTGGGGACTTGTCTACCTCAATGTTTTTCAAAACAGCCAACTGCTCCTCATTTTCAAACCAGCTTTAGCAAATGAGTCTTGATGTTTTCCTTGGTGCAGACTGCTTGAAGCAGACAGCTCAGCTCAAGACATTACACCAGATTTTGTCTATACAATGCAGATGGTTCAGAAGCTTTTGGAAATGTGATTGTGTGATCAGCTATGGCCATTTTATGATTCTGGCAAGTTTGTTTTTAAAGGAAACAGAATTTACAGAAAATATCAGTTTTCTTGAAGATTTATCTGGCTTTTTAACCTTTCCTGTCTTCCAGCTGATCACTTTGTTCTTCCCCTCACAACACTTTTCCTGCTTCTACACTTGCTCAAAACCAGTTACAACTTTGCTATTCATCAGTTCTTATGATAGGTCATTGATGTGAAAGTTTAACTGTGCTTCTCTCTTTGAATGCAATTCCAGACATGTTGAATATTTTCAGCATCACATTGCTCTATTTAGGAATGGCATTGCAATTGTTTCTGACTGCAGCTCAAAGAAGTTGCACAAATAAATTACCATTTTACTAACCTGTAAGTTACTGCTTGTAGTGCACGGCAGTAACAGCTTGCCAACCAAAGAGAACGATCAGTCAGGATGTTTGGACAATGGGATACCTTCAAAATTAGAAGATTGCTGCCAGCAGCCTTCAGCAGGGATTCCAGTCCAGTCTCCAGACAACCACTGCCGTAACAAAATTAAATATGTGTTCATTTATTTAAAACGTCCTATGGATATTTAATTTGACTTGTGTCACATCTGTTGTTGGTGACAGATCTTTGTCTTTCCACCACTAATATTTTGCAGCAGCTTTCAATAACATTGCCAATATACTCAAACTTCTGTGAAACAAAAATATAATTGCTAATAGCCTCAATGAAGCAAAATTAGATTTTTTTAAAACCCAGTCGTAAAACATTTCAAGTTTCTGCATAATCGGCAGACAGACCTTGACTGAAAGTATTCAGAAAGCAGAAACAGAAATGGGAGCATGGACACAAGTATTCTTACTCACCAGGTAAGTAGCTTGGTTTCTGATTTTTTTAGCAGAACAAATTAACATTGAACAAATTACACTGTCAATTCAAACAGGAGCTTGCTATAAAACAGTAAGAATCATGATGCTATACTTATTGAGACTACAGATTCATATGTTTTAATTGTAAATTTAACCTTCTGGATTCAATCAGTCAATTATTTTGATTCCTGTCTCCAAATGAAACGATTCTTTGTATGAATTTCACTTTACTATAGCATGAAAACTAACTCAGCAGCAACAATAAAAAGTGAATTTTAAAAACAACTTTTGAAATAGGATGTACAATGTTCATAGGACTGAAGGCAAACAGTATGTTTGCATTTATCACAAGAGGAATTGAGTAACGGAGAAAGAAGTCTAGCTTTATTTGAATGAAACACCGGTGGAGCTGCACCTGGAGTAGTATGGGTTCTGGTTCCTATGCCCTGGAATGGATACACTTCCATGGAGGAATTGCAACAGAGGCATTTATTCGTGGGATGTGGACATTGAATGCTAGACCAAAGGGCAGGTACAAGTCAACCACGTTGTAGTCACATGGAGTCACATAGAATAATAGAATTTTTCAGTACAGAAGGAAGCTGTTCAATCCATTGTGACTGTACCAGTGCCTGAAAAAGCTATTGAGCTTCTGACTCTCCAACCATATCTAGTCCTCTAACTTCATCTCTTTTAAATCTAAATCCAGTTCCATTCGGAGCTCCACTCTGCTTACCAGTTCTCTTTCTCTTTCTTGCTTTGTCCCTCCTTTTTCTCCCTTCTTCTCTCTCCCCCTGTAATAATTCTATCCCCTCCACCCTTTTTCACTACCTACCTGAGGAGTCGGGAAGGAGCTGGGTCGCGACGAGGAACATGTCAGGAGCTGAGTCGCGACCAGGAACCACATGTCAGGAGCTGAATGCGCAGGTTGTATCCTGCAGCGACGGCGCATTGAGCGTGGGCCAGAGCGATGTCAGCGGTGAATCAAGAGTGGACTGGCGAGAGCGGGCCGGTGAGGCAGCTGAGAGCAGGACACTGGCAGAGGCATGGCGAGGGCTGGAAAGCCTGGAGCGGGACTCTAGCAGAGGCATGGTGAGGGCTGGAAAGCCTGGAGCAGGACTGTAGCGGAGGCATGGCAAGGGCTGGAAAGCCTGGAGCGGAGGCATGGCGAGGGCTGGAAAGCCTGGAGTGGGACACAGGCGGAGGCATGGCGAGGGCTGGAAAGCCTGGAGCGGGACACTGGCGGAGGCATGGTGAGGGCTGGTAAGCCTGGAGTGGGACATTGGCGGAGGCATGGTGAGGGCTGGAAAGCCTGGAGCGGGACATGGGCAGAGGCATGGTGAGGGCTGGAAAGCCCTGAATGGGACTGTGGCAGCAGAAATGAAAGTTGGACTCTATTAAGTTATCTTTTCTTTCTTATCTTATTTGAAGTTAATGTGAATGGCACCATGTATGTATGGCGAAGGTACACACTTTCCACTGTATTTTTACATTGAATACATGTGACAACAAAAGAATTGAATTCAGTTCTCTCTTTGAAACCTCCTATGGGATCCGCTTCCACCACTCTCCCCTGCAGCACATTCCAAACCCTAACAATTGAGTAAAGAAGTTTCTCCTCATCTCACTCATAGGTCTCTTGCTGACAATCTTGAAGTTGTGGCCTCTAGTTCCACATAGACCATACCAGGAAAGGGTGGCTTTCCTTCCCTGAAGGATATGGAGGTTCCAGTGTTGGACTGGGTTGGACAAGGTCAAAAATCACACAACACCAGGTTATAGTCCAACAGGTTTATTTGAAAACACTAGCTTTCGGAGTGTTACTCCTTCCTCAGGTGTAGTGAGAGAGGAGGTATCAAGACACAGAATTTATAAGTAAAAGATCAAAGGTTCATTCAATTGATGCGAATGTATTGAATAAACCTAAAATGGCTGGCTGACTCCCTCCTGTTAAATCTTTAATCAGAAAGGAGATGCAGGTTTCAATTGATTAAATGCAAATCTCAAAATTTCTTTCAGGTAACTGCCCCGAGAGAACTAAAGGTTTTATCAATGTATACAAGAGCTGGCATCTCAGACAGGCAATGCATTTTAGGTGTGAGGCCTTGTTTAGAATCTGTCTGTGTATGAATCTGGATATCTGGGAAGTCGTAGAACTGGACGCCTCATCCTGGGAGCAGATGCGGCGGAGGTGGAGGAATTGAGTATGGGATTGATTTTTTTTATTCATTCATGGGATGAGGGTGTCACTGATCAGGCAGCATTCATTGCCCATCTCTAATTACCCAGAGGACAGTTAAGAGTCAACCACATTGCTGTGGGTCTGGAGTCACATGTAGGCCAAACCAGGTAAGGATGGCAGTTTCCTTCCCTAAAGGACATTAGTGAACCAGATGGGTTTTCGAATAATTGACAATGGATTCACAGTCATCATTACCCTCTTAATTCCAGATATTTATTGAATTCAAGTTCCACCATCTGCCATGGCAGGATTACCCAGGTCCCCAGAACTTTATCTGGGACTCTGGATTAACAGTCCTGCAATAGTACCACTAGGCCATTGCCTCCCCAACTAACTTTTGCAGCACGGTGAGTGAGAGGAGGTGTAGTCAAGGTAATTGTGGGAGTCAGTGGGTTTGAAATGAGTGTCAGTGGTGAGTCGGTTAACAGAGATGGAGACAGAGATATCCAGGAAGGGGAGGGATGCGTCAGAAATGGTCCAGGTGAATTTGAGGGCGCAGTGGAAGGTGTTGGCAAAGTTGATAAACTGTTCAAGATCCTTGTGAGAGCACGAGGCAGCGCCGATATAGTCATCAATAAAGTGAAGAAAAAGGTGGGGGTTGGGTCATGTGGTGAAAAGTAGGATTTGTGTTGATTTAGAGTCATTTCGTATGTGCAGACTCATGGGCTGAAGAGCCTCGTCTGTACTGTATCAATCGATGGCTCTCTGCCCCTTTTCAATCTTTCCCCTCTAGTTTTGGACTCCCCCATCCCAGAGAAAAGACCTTGTCTATTCATCCTATCCATGCCATTCATAATTTTATAAACTTCTATAAGATCAACTTGCAGCCTCTGATGCTCCAGGGATCATAGCCCCAGGCTATTCAGCCTCTCTCTTAAAGATCAAACCCTCAAACCTTGCCAACATTCTCATAAATCTTTTCTGAACTCTTTCAGGTTTCACAACATCTTTCCCATAGCAGGGAGACCAGAACTGAACTCAGTATTCCAAAAGTGGCCCACCCAATGTCCAGTACAGTCACAACATGTCCTCCAAACTCCTATACTCAACACACTGACCAATAAAGACAAGAGTTCCAAAAGCCTTCATCACCACTCTGTCTACCTGTGACTTCACTTTCAACAAACTATGAACCCGCACCCTAAGGTCATTTTGTTCAGTAACAAGACCTTACCATTAAGTGTATAAATCCTGCCCTGATTTGCCTTCCCAAAATGCAGCACCTTACATTTATCTAAACTCCGTCTGCCACTCCTCGGCCCATTTGCCCATCTGATCAATGTCCCATTATACTCGGAGATAATCTTCTTCGCTGTCCACTATACCACCAATTTTGGAGTCATCTGCAAACTTACGAACCATACCTCCTATGTTCAAAACAAAATCATTTATAACCCTAACTCTTGAGTAGCACAGTGGCTCAGTGGTTAGCACTGCTGCTGCACAGCACCTGGTTTGATTCCAATCCTTGGTAAGTCATCTATGTGAAGACTGCGCATTCTCCCTGTGTCTGTGTGGGTTTCCTTTGCGTGATCTAGTTTCCTCCCACAGTCCAAAGGTGTGCAGGTTAAGTGGATTGGCCATTCCTAGCTTCCCATAGTGTCCAGAGATGTGCACGTTATGTGGGTCAACCATGGGAAATGCAGGGTTACAGGAACAGGGTGGGTCTCGGTGGGAGGGGCGGTTAGACTCAATGGGCCGAATAGCCTGCTACCACAATGTAGGGATTCTACTCTAACGATTATACTCCATCTTCAGAACTGGTCAATGAACTCAAAATGTCAACTCTTTTCCCTTCACAGATGCTGCCAACCTGCCAATTTTCTTCAGCAATTTGTTTTTGTTTGTTTCAGACCTGCAGCAGTTGCATTCCTTTATTTCTGCCCTTTCAATGAGACCCTTGAAACTAAACCTGCTTAAAGCTCATTAATGGAGAATTTTAAACTGCAGCTTACACAAATGAAAGCTTTTGACCCAGTAAATGCACACACTCAGACGAGGATAGAGCTTAACTCCAAAGGTAACCATGCAGGAGCAAGTTCAGCCTTCAGCACAGCAGTCAGTACTTGTCCCAGTACTCCTTGGCATCATCCCAGAGCCAAAGAAAGATCATGCAGCATGCCTCAATGTCTACTGCACGGCGGCTCTGACCTCCATAATTATGAAGTCCTTGCAGAAGTTAGTCTTGACTGACATCAACTCCACCCATTTTTTTCTATTCATTTTGTGGGATGTGGGCGTCGCTGACTGGCCAGCATTTCTTGCACATCCTTAGTTGCCGTTGAGAAGGTGGTGGTGAGCTGCCTTCTTGAACCGCTGCATTCCTTCTGCTATTAAGGAGGGAATTCCAGGATTTTGACCAAGCAACAGTGAAGGAATGGCAATATATTTCCAAGTCAGGATGGTGAGTGATTTGGAGGGGAACTTGGAGATGGTGGTGTTCCCATGTATCTGCTGCCCTTGTCCTTCTAGATGGAAGTGGTCATGGGTTTGGAATGTGCTGTCTGAGGATCTTTGGTGAATTTCTGCAGTGCATCTTGCAGATAGTACACACTGCTGCTACTGAGTGTCGGTGGTGGACGGAGTAAATGCTCGTGGATGTAGTGCCAATCAAGCCGGCTGCTTTGTCCTGGATGGTGTCAAGCTTCTTGAGTGTTGTTGGGGCTGCACTGATGCAGGCAAGTGGGGAGTATTCCATCACACTCCTGATTTGTGCCTTGTCGATGGTGGACAGGGTTTGAGGAGTGAGGAGGTGAGTTACTCGCTGCAGTATTCCCAGCTTCTGGCCTGCTCTTGCAGCCACTCTGTCAATGTGGTGAGTCCAGTTGAGTTTCTGGTCAATGGTAACCCCCAGGATGTTGACAGTGGGGGGATTCACTGATGGTAACACCATTGAATGTCAAGAGGCGGTGGTTAGACTGTCTCTTATTGGTGATGATCATAGCCTGGCATTTGAATGGCGCAAATGTCACTTGCCACTCGTCAGCCCAAGCCTGGATATTGCCCAGAACTTGTTGTATGTGAACATGGACTGCTTCAGTATCTGAGGAGTCACGAATGGAGCTGAACATTGTGCAACCATTGGTGAACATCCCCACTCTGGCCTTATGATGGATGGAAGGTCATTGATGAAGCAGCTGAAGATAGTTGGGCCTAGGACACTACCCTGAGGAACTCCTGCAGAGGTGTCCTGCAGCTGAGATGATTGACCTCCCACAACCACGACCATCTTCCTATGTGTCAGGTTTGACTCCAACCACTGGAGCATTTGTCCCCTGATACCCATTGATTCCAGTTTTGCCAGGGCTCCTTGATGCCACAGTCGGTGGAATGCAGCCTTGATATCAAGGGCTGTCACTCTCACCTCACCTCTGGAATTCAGCTCTTTTGCCCATGTTTGAACCAAGGCTGTAATGAGGTCAGGAGCTGAGTGGCCCTGGAGGAACCCAAACCGGGTGTCACTGAGCAGGTTATTTCTGAGCAGGTGCTGCTTGATAGCACTGTTGATGACACCTTCCATCACTTTACTGATGATCGAGAGGAGACTGATGGGGTGGTAATTGGCCGGGTTGGATTTGTCCTTCTTTTTGTGTACAGGACATATTTGGGCAATTTTCCACAATATCGGATAGATACCAGTGTTGTAACTGTACTGGAACAGCTTGGCTAATGGAGCAGCAAGTTCTGGAGCACAAGTCTTCAGTACTATTGCTGGAATGTTGTCAGGGTCGGTAGTCTTTGCAATATCAGGTGTCTCCAACCGTTTCTTGATATCACGTGCATCGAATTGGCTGAAGACTGGTGTCTGTAATGCTGGGGACCACTGGAGGAGGCTGAGACAGATCGTCCACTCGGCATTTCGGCTGAAGATTGCTGCGAATGCTTCAGTCTTATCTTTTGCACTGATATGCTCGGCTCTTCCATCATTGAGGATGCGGATATTTGTGGACCCTCCTCCTCCAGTGAATTGTTTAATTGTCCACCACCATTCACTACTGGATGTGGCAGGACTGCAGAGTTTAGATCTGATCCGTTGGTTGTGGGATCGCTTAGCTCTGTCTATCACTTGCTGCTTTCACTGTTTGGCGTGCAAGTAGTCCTGTTTGATAGCTTCACCAGGTTGATACCTCATCTTCATAGAACATAGAACATAGAACATTACAGCGCAGTACAGGCCCTTCGGCCCTCGATGTTGCGCCGACCTGTGAAACCAATCTGAAGCACATCTAACCTAAACTATTCCATTATCATCCATATGTTTATCCAATGACCATTTAAATGCCCTTAAAGTGGGCGAGTCTACTATTTTTGCAGGCAGGGCATTCCACGCCCTTACTACTCTCTGAGTAAAGAACCTACCTCTGACATCTGTCCTATATCTATCACCCCTCAATTTAAAGCTATGTCCCCTCGTGCTAGCCATCACCATCCGAGGAAAAAGGCTCCCACTGTCCACCCTATCTAATCCTCTGATCATTCAGGTATGCCTGGTGCTGCTCCTGGCATGCCCTCCTGCACTCTTCATTGAACCCTGGCTTGATGGTAATGGTTGAGTGGGGGATATGCCGGGCCACGTGTACAGATTGTGTTGGAGTACAATTCTGCTGCTGTTGATGGCCCAAAGTGCCTCATGGATGCCCAGTCTTCAGTTGTTAGATCATTGCGAAGTCTGTCCCATTTAGCATGGTGATCGTACCACACAACACGATGGAGATTGTTCTCAATGTGAAGACGGGACGTGGTCTCCACAAAGACTGTGCAATGGTCACTCTTACCAATACTGTCATGGACAGATACAACTGCAGCTGACAGATTGGTAAGGATGAGGTCAGGTATGTTTTTCCCTTTTGTTGGTTCCCTCACCACCTGCCGCAGACCCAGTCTAGCAGCTATGTCCTTTAGGACCCGACCAGCTCGATCAGTAGTACTGCTGCCGAGCCACTCTTGGTGGTGGACATTGAAATCCCCCACCCAGAGTACATTTTGCACCCTGCCCATTCTCAGTGCTTCCTCTAAGTGTTTTACAACATGGAGGAGTGTGGATTCATCAGTTGAGGGAGGACAGTGTCTGGTAATCAGCAGGAGGTTTCCTTGCCCATGTTTAACCTGAAGCCATGAGACTTCATGGGGTCTGGAGGCAATGTTGAGGACTCCCAGAGCAACTCCCTCCCTACTGTATCCCACTGTGCCGCCCCCTCTGCTGGGTCTGTCTTGCCGGTGGGACAGGACATATCCAGGAAGGTGATGGTGGTGTCTGGGACATTGTTTGTGAGGTATGATTCTGTGAGTATGACTGTGTCAGGCCGTTGCTTGACTAGTCTGTGAGACAGCTCTCCCAATTTTGCCACTCACCCCCAGATGTTCGTGAGGAGGACTTTGCATGCTCAACAGGACTGTTTCTGCCGTTGTCTTTTCCGGTGCCTAGGCCGATGCTAGATGATCTGTTCAGTTTCATTTCTTTGAGTCTTTGTAGTGATAGGTACAACTGAGTGGATTGCTTGGCCATTTCAGAGGGCAGTTGAGAGTCAACCACATTGCTGTGGGTCTGGAATCAGATGTAGGTCAGACCAGGTAAAGGTGGCAGATTTTCCTCCCCTGAAGGACATCAGTGAACCAGATGGGTTTTTCCGACAATCAGCAATGATTTCACGGTGATCAATAGATTCTTAATTCCAGACTTTTCTTTTAATTCCAATTCCACCATCTGCCGTGGTGGGATTCAAACTCAGGTCCCCAGAACATCAGCTGGGTTTCTGGATTAATCATCTAGCGATAACACTGCTGAGCCATCGCCTCCCCTTATTGCCTACTAGATTGCCTACTAGATTGCCTTGATCCTTGCAATTCGCCTACTGTCACAACTGACGTCATCTCCTTGGCCCTCATCCCTGGAACATCTGGATAACAAGGATACCTATGTCAGGCTCCTACTTATTGACTACAGCTCTGGCTTCAACACCATAATTCCAAACAAAATCATCTCTAAACTCCGACACCTTAGACTCAGACCCCTCCATAACTAGATTCTCAACTTCTTTACCCATAGATCGTTTTCATTAAGAGTGGGCAATAACATCTCCTCCACGATAATCCTCAACACTGGTCCTTTGCAAGGCTGCATACTCAAGCCACTACCATATTTGTTATACACTCACAACTATGCGGTCAAATTCCACCCCAACTCCATTTACAGGTTTTACTGACGACAACAACGTTGTAGGTCAGATCTCAAATAATGACGAGACAGAGTACATGAAAGAGGCTCAGTGCTTAGCAATAATAGCCTCTCCATCAACATCAGCAAAATGAAGGACACTGACTTCAGGAAGCGGTGTGGAGGGCCCACCCCGTCAACATCAGTGGCACAGAGGTAGAGATGGTTGAGGGCATCGAGTTTTTGGGAGGGATGATCACGAACAATCTGTCCTGGTCCACCCACGACGATGCAATGGTCGAGAAAGCTAGGGAAATTCAGCGTGTCTCAAGTGACTGTTACTAATTTTTATCGCTGCGCCATGGAAAGCATCCTATCTGGAGCATCACAGCGTGGTCTGGCAACTGCTCTTCCTAAGACCGCAACAAGCTATCATCATATTGTGAACACCACCTGGTCCATCACGCAAACCAGCCTTTCATCGACTGACTCCATCTATACTTCCCGCTGCCTCGAGAAGGCAATCAACATAATCAGAAACCCTTGCCACCCTGGTTATACTCTCTTCCGCCCTCTTCTGTCGGGTAGAAGATATAAAGTGTGAATGCACATATGACCAGATTCAAGAACAGCTTCTTCCCCGCTGTTATCAAACTTTTGAATGGATCTCTCAAATATTAACGTTGATTGCTCTCTCTGCATCTTTTCTGAAGCTCCAACACTGTATTGTGCACTCTGTTCTGCTACCATGATGTACTTTGTATGGTATGCACTGCTGGTATAGCACGCAACACAGCACTTTTCACTGTATGTCGGTACATGTGACAACAATAAATCAAATCAAATCAAATCCTGCCTATCCTTATGTAATCGTTTCAATACAACCCTCTTCTGCCTTCTCCTTCATGTCTATTTAGCCTCTTCCTAAATGTATCTGTTTAATTTGCTATACACACTCTCTTGATCATGACTCCATAATTCTCACCATTCTAGGCAGTCTTGATAATGCATGAATTGATACTCACTGTGTGTTTTTAAGATATTCCTCTTTACTTTCCTTCTTCCCTTTTGGACGAGGTTTAATGCCTTGCAGAGTGAGGGAGTGTGTCTGTGTACACCATTGGGAAAGGGTCACCATAAACTGAAACATACAGAAAATACAGATCTAATAAATGCAATCCAAAGAGATTTCAGCTGTATACATGGATAAAAAAGAGATTCAGTATGATACTAATGAGTAAATAAAATCATTTCATGCTTTTCTGCAGTAAATTTCATCTGCCATATTTTTGCTACATCATCAACTTGTCCTTTTGAAATTTAACACTATTGACCTCAATTCAAAATACTTCCATCGAGAAATTTTAATATTTTGCACTGTACACCAAGATCTAGATTTTTAATATATTTGAGGAATACTGGGGTGTTAACACTAATCCCTGAGAAATTGCACTATAAAGTGTTCTTCAGTCTGAAAACAACTGCTATTGTTTCCGGTCTCTGAATTAATGTTTTGTCCATATTGTTACTGCGTCTTCTTTTCCATGGGTCAGTTGATGTCTGAGTTTCTACCAATCCCCTTATTATGAAGGACTGTTTCCTAACTTCACTCCTGAAAGATCTAGCTTTAATTTTTACATTATTCCTCCTCATCCTAGATTCCCAATGAACAGAAAGAAATTATTTCTGACAATTGACCCTAATGTCGCCCTTAGCATTTTGAAGTCCTAACCCATTAACTTTTAAATTTTAGGCAATAGAACCTTAGTTTGTTTAGTGTTTCCTTATAACTTAACCTTTGAACTTCCAGTACCATGTCAACGGTGTAACTTCCAGACATGACTGACTGGGGAAATTTTCCAATTATCTCTATTCTGCACAGGAAGAGTACGTGTATTTCATGCAACCCATTTGGAGTATTCAGTCACATGAAAATATAAGCAGAAGTTCCTATTTATCCACCTACTCTCAAAACTAAACATTCTCAGAATAATTAAAATAACTCTGAATGAATACCACAATTAACACTTCCAGCTTCAGTTAGCAGCATTCCATTATTCATGGCCAATTTACCCTATATCTGCAAAGAAGAAAATATAATCAATTTTCAAGTGTTTCTTCTTTATTCTGTGTATTTACACTGAAACAACAAGAAGTCCTCGAGACATATTTCATTCAGCATGTAATGTGAAAGGAAAATGATTTCAATACTCTGCAATAATGAACCTGATCCAAACGATGAAACGACAGGAATCACTGTACAAGTCTATCAATATCTGTCAAGCCAGTTTTATGGTTACCTGAATCAATTTTCAGGCTGGTTTGTAAATACAGTGCTGAAAATTCTCCGGGTGGCCTTTCTGTCTAGCCTGTGATTTCACGTTTTCGGCAGGTGAAACCCCACAGTGGCTTTTCCATCTTTGCCCCAATTAAGGATCTTAAATGGTTAATTAATAGTCACTTGATGTTTGTTTTCCATCTTAGTTTTGAGATCCAGAGGACAGATTTTGGCTCGGGTTTTAGAATTTTGGGGTGCAGGTTGGGTGAGGTGTGTCAAAGGATTTCATTCCTGGCCCTCATTTAGGATCAGGCAGCCCCTCCCAGGATCTAGGCCCCACAGTGCTGCCACCTGCCCCTCCTTCAAATTAAGACTTCACCAGTATATCAGGCAATGGCTCACACATCACTCCTTTATAGCTGTGAGGCATGGACTGTTCACCAGCATCACATAAAACAAATAGATGCATTAAACTTTCACTACTTAAGCCTTATATATAAACTTGAGTGATTGAACAAAATCCCTAATACCAAAGTTTTTGCAAAGTTCTGCATACCTAATATCCTGAGCATGCTTACCAGGGCTCAGCTTCACTGGGTCATACTGTGAGGCTTACATAAGGACAGACCATAAGACTGTAAAAAATAGGAATAGAAGTAGGCTTTTCTGACCCTGGAGCCTGCTTGCCATTCAAATGGATCATGCTTGATTCTACATTCCTCACATCCACTTTCCTGCCTTTTCTCCATAACTTTTGATTCCCCGCTGATCAGGAATCTAACTCAGCCTGAAATATACACAAGGACTGTGCCTCCACTCAGTGGCATGGAGTTTCAAAGACTCTCAACCCTCTGAGAGAAGAAATTCCTCCTCAACTTAAATTGGTGCCCATTTATTCTGAGACTGCACCCTCTGATCCAGACTCTCCATGAGGGGAAACATCCTCTCAGCATTTATCCAGTCAAGCCCTTGAAAATCCTATATATTTCATCATAGAATCATCATCATCATTGAACCCTATAGTGTAGAAGCAGACCATTCGGCCCATCAAGTCCACACCGATCCACTGAAGAGATCCCATCCAGATCCAACCCCCCCTCCCTATAATCCTGCATTTCTCATGGCTGACCCTCCTGCCCTACATATCCTTGGACACTACGGGTAATTTAGTTGTGCAGCACTTTATCAAATGTATTTTGTAAAGCCACTTAAATCTCCAGAAATTCATTTAACATGGTCTTCTCTTCTGAATTCCACATGGCTCTTCTAAGTTAAAATGCATTTGACCAAGTTGCCATTCGTTTTGCCTAGAATTATTCTAAATGTCTTCTCACCACTGAGGTTAAACTGATAGGCCTGTAGTTGTTTGGCTTATTCTTACAGCCTTTTTTTGAACAGGGGTGCGACACTTCAAATTCTCAAGTACTTTAGCACCATCCCTGAGTATATGGAAAATGGGAATATTATGTACTGCACCTCCAGAATTTCCACTCTAATTTCCCTCAGTATCCCATCGAGAAAATAGAACCAGAACATAGAATATTACAGCACAGTACAGGCCCTTCGGCCCTCGATGTTGCGCCGACCTATGAAACCAATCTGAAGCCCATCTAACCTAAACTATTCCATTATCATCCATACGTTTATCCAATGACCATTTAAATGTCCTTAAAGTTGGCGAGTCTACTACTGTTGCAGGCAGGGCATTCCACGCCCTTACTACTCTCTGAGTAAAGAACCTACCTCTGACATCTGTCCTATATCTATCACCCCTCAATTTAAAGCTATGTCCCCTCATGCTAGCCATCACCATCCGAGGAAAAAGGCTCACACTGTCCACCCTATCTAATCCTCTGATCATCTTGTATGTCTCTATTAAGTCACCTCTTAACCTTCTTCTCTCTAACGAAAACAGCCTCAAGTCCATCAGCCTTTCCTCATAAGACCTTCCCTCCATACCAGGCAACATCCTGGTAAATCTCCTCTGCACCCTTTCCAATGCTTCCACATCCTTCCTATAATGCGGCGACCAGAACTGTACGCAATACTCCAACTGCGGCCACACCAGAGTTTTGTACAGCTGCAACATGACCTCATGGCTCCGAAACTCAATCCCTCTACCAATAAAACCTAACACACCGTACGCCTTCTTAACAACCCTATCAACCTGGGTGACAACTTTCAGTGATCTATGCACATGGACACCGAGATCTCTCTGCTCATCCACACTACCAAGAATCTTACCATTAGCCCAGTACTCTGTATTCCTGTTACTCCTTCCAAAGTGAATCACCTCACACTTTTCCGCATTAAACTCCATTTGCCACCTCTCAGCCCAGCTCTGCAGCTTATCTATGTCCCTCTGTAACCTGCAACATCCTTCCGCATTATCCACAACTCCACCGACTTTAGTGTCATCCACAAATTTACAAACCCATCCTTCTACGCCCTCATCCAGGTCATTTATAAAAATGACAAACAGCAGTGGCCCCAAAACAGATCCTTGAGGTACTCCACTAGTAACTGAACTCCAGGATGAACATTTCCCATCAACCACCACCCTCTGTCTTCTTACAGCTAGCCAATTTTTCATCCAAACCGCTAAATCACCCTCAATCCCATGCCTCCATATTTTCTGCAATAGCCTACCATGGGGAACCTTATCAAATGCTTTACTGAAATCCATATACACCACACCAACCGCTTTACCCTCATCCACCTGTTTGGTCATCTTCTCAAAGAACTCAATAAGGTTTGTGAGGCACGACCTACCCTTCACAAAACTGTGTTAACTATCCCTAATCAAATTATTCCTTTCTAGATGATTATAAATCCTATCTCTTTTCATCCTTTCCAACACTTTACCCACAACCGAACTAAGGCTCACTGGTCTATAATTACCAGGGTTGTCTCTACTCCCCTTCTTGAACAAGGGGACAACGTTTGCTATCCTCCAGTCTTCCGGCACTATTCCTGTAGACAATGACGACATAAAGATCAAAGCCAAAGGCTCTGCAATCTCCTCTCTAGCTTCCCAGAGAATCCTAGGATAAATCCCATCCGGCCCAGGGGACTTATCTATTTTCCCACCTTCCAGAATTGCTAACACCTCCTCCTTATGAACCTCAATCCCGTCTAGTCTAATAGCCTGTATCTCAGTATTCTCCTCGACAACATTGTCTTTTTCCTGTGTGAATACTGACGAAAAGTATTCATTCAGCGCCTCTCCTATCTCTTCCGACTCCACGCACAACTTCCCACTACTGTCCTTGACTGGCCCTAATCTTACTCCAGTCATTCTTTTATTCCTGACATACCTATAGAAAGCTTTAGGGTTTTCCTTGATCCTACCTGCTAAAGACTTCTCATGTCCCCTCCTGGCTCTTCTTAGCTCTCTCTTTAGGTCCTTCCTGGCTAACTTGTAACTCTCAAGCGCCCTCACTGAGCCTTCACGCCTCATCTCTACATAAGCCTCCTTCTTCCTCTTGACAAGAGATTCAACTTCTTTACTAAACCACGGTTCCCTCGCTCGACCACTTCCTCCCTGCCTGACAGGTACATACTTCTCAAGGACACGCAGTAGCTGTTCCTTGAACAAGCTCCACATTTCAATTGTGCCCAGCCCCTGCAGTTTCCTTCTCCATCCTATGCATCCTAAATCTTGCCTAATCGCCTCATAATTGCCTTTCTCCCAGCTATAACTCTTGCCCTGCGGTTTATACCTATCCCTTTCTATCGCTAAAGTAAACGTAACCGAATTGTGGTCACTATCACCAAAGTGCTCACCTACCTCCAAATCTAACACCTGGCCTGGTTCATTACCCAGTACCAAATCCAATGTGGCCTCGCCTCTTGTTGGCCTATCTACATACTGTGTCAGGAAACCCTCCTGCACACATTGGACAAAAACTGACCCATCTAAAGTACTCAAACTATAGCGTTTCCAGTCAATATTTGGAAAGTTAAAGTCCCCCATAACAACTACCCTGTTACTTTCGCTCCTATCCAGAATCATCTTTGCGATCTTTTCCTCTACATCTCTGGAACTTTTCGGAGGCCTATAGAAAACTCCCAACAGGGTGACCTCTCCTTTTCTGTTTCTAACCTCAGCCCTTACTACCTTAGTAGACGAGTCCTCATCAAACGTCCTTTCTGCCACCGTAATACTGTCCTTGACTAACAATGCCACACCTCCCCCTCTTTTACCACCTTCCCTGATCTTACTGAAACATCTAAACCCCGGAACCTGCAACAACCATTCCTGTCCCTGCTCTATCCACATCTCCGAAATGGCCACAACATCGAAGTCCCAAGTACCAACCCATGCTGCAAGTTCACCCATCTTATTCCGGATGCTCCTGGCGTTGAAGTAGACACACTTCAAACCACCTTCCTACCTGCCGGTACACTCCTGCGACCTTGAAACCTTATTCATGACCTCACTACTCTCAACCTCCTATACCCTAGAATGAGCCCCAATTATCCAGGTATCTGAATCCCTCCCTCCTGCACCGTCCCTGTAGCCACGTGTTCAACTGCTCTCTCTCCCTATTCCTCGCCTCACTAGCACGTGGCACGGGTAATAAACCAGAGATAACAACCCTGTTTGTTCTCACTCTAAGCTTCCACCCTAGCTCCTTGAATTTCTGCCCTACATCCCCATCCCTTTTCCTACCAACGTCATTGGTGCCTACGTGGACCACGACTTGGGGCTGCTCCCGCTCCCCCTTAAGGATCCCGAAAACACGATCCAAGACATCACGGACCCTGGCACCATGTATCTGTTCCTGGTACCTTATAAAATTTAAGTAGAAACAGTCTATCCACTATCTTTTCTCATCAATTTTAGAACCTTAAAGAAAATTAATTATATTTTCTTAAAATTCATTCACAGAATATGGCTGTTGCTGGCTTGGACACTATTTATTGCAAATTCTTAACTGCCCGAGGGAAAGTAGTGGTGAACTGTCTCTATGGACTGCCGCATTCATTAGCCTGTTTTACATGTGCAATGTCATTAGGGAGGAAGTCTCAGGATTTTGATTCAATGACAGTGACGGAACAGCAATGTATGTCTAAGTCAGGATGGTAAGTGGCTTAGAGGGCAACTTGCAGGTAGCATTGTTCCCATGTATCTGCTCTCCTTCTCTTTCTGGATTGAAGTGGTTGCAGCTTTCAAAAGTGCTGTTGATGGCAGGAGCTGGGACTAGTAATCCAAAGATCAAAGTGATGTTTGAGACCTGACTTCAAATTCCATCATGGAGGATCGTAAAATTTGAATTCAATAAAAATCTGAAGTAAAAAGTCTAATAATTACTCTGAAAGATACATGGAACAGTCCCTCTTCTGCAATTACACTGGCACCATCCCTCACCTCTTCCTTGGCTACATTGATGACTGCACCAGTACTGCCTTGGGCTCCCACTAGGAGCTTGAACAGCTCATCTGCTTTACTAACACCTTTCACCCCTACCTCAAATTCACCTGGACCATTTCCGATACCTCCCCCCACTTCCTGGGCCTCTCTGTCTCCATCTCTGATAACCATCTCAACACCGACATCTATTTCAAACCCACCGACTCCCACAGCTACCTTGACTACACCTCCTCT